AGGTAAAAGAGTGGGGATTTGAGCCTGTGATAACAGAATCAGGTAGTGAGTTCCAGACATTGACCACTCTGTTGCTGAAATCGTACTTCCTACAATTGAGTTTGGAGTGGTTTACATTTAGTTTATATCTCTGTGTGCTCTTGTGTTGTTGCGGTTAAAGCTAAAATATTCATTAACTGGTAAAGACATTGTAACATATGATTTTATGTACTATTGTTCTGACCCAAACCCTTTTCCAATAAAACAAACATGAACCAAAGGGAACAGAAACCTTTTAATGATTCTTATGAATCCCCGGTTAAAAGGCTGCTGCAAACTAATTAACTTTGATAAGCACGAGCTTTGCCAAAACTGTGTGAGACTGCCAAGAATAACAGATAAGAAATATTTCACAACACAAGAGTCTTCAAATACCAACTTAAGATATTGTAATGTCCACAAGTCTGAGTTTCAAAAGGTCTTTGCTTCCTACAAAGAATGTTCGCTTCACAGCTGGCTTTTATCTTCTTAAAGGAGGGGCCATTACCTTGCAGCCTTACTGCAACTGCTCTTTCCTGCGAGCAACCCTGCATGCACGTGCACTTGGCACAGGCTCCCCGGGAACCTCTTCATTGCTGCTGCCAGCCCCCACAATCTTTGAAGGCTGCAGTCCACTCGCTATGGTCCTGGTCCCTCATCTGAGTCTTCGCTCAACTCAGCCGTCCGCACCTGCTGCCGGCTAACCACAACAACTATGCTTAAGTCCAATCTTAGCTGATGTAGTTCAAGGTTGTCTAAGCCTAGAATCTCAAGTCTGGTGGTGTAGGGTATTCTGTTGCAAACAGAGAAGTGTAGTACTCTTCTTGTAAAATACTTCTGGACTCGTTCAATTGTATTAATGTCTGATATACAGTGCATATTTCAGAGAGTGGAGCTGTATTCAAATATTGGCCTAGCAAAGGTTGTGTATGTCCTAATTTGCAAATCAGTACTACCAGTGGAGAAGCTGCGTAAGATCAGATTTAGAACTCATAAAGCTTTTTTTGAGATGTTGTTGCAGTGAGCTCTGGTGCTTTGGTCATTCGATATGAGAACTCCAAGGTCTTTGACAGAGTGAGGGTCATTAACGAGGTCATATCCGCCTAGTTTGTATTTGGTGTATTGATTTTTTTTACCAATGTGTAGGACAGAGCATTTGTTGGTCAAGATTTGGAGTTGCCATCTGTTTGACCATTCAGACACATAATCAAGGTCACTTTGAAGTATGGTAGCATTGTCAGTGGTGTTGAATAGTTTTACATCATCAGCAAAGAGGATGCAGTCACTTATAAGATGATTACAAAGGTCATTTATATAGAGTGTAAAGAGTGTGGGTCCTAGAACGCTTCCTTGGGGAGACCACTGTTAACTGGTGCAGAGTTTGATAAGGCGTTTCCTATTTTTACTAATTGTTGTCTGCTTGACAGGAAGGCAGAAATCCACTTATGAAGGGATCTGGAAATGCCGTAAGATTTCAATTTTAATAGTAGTTTGTCATGTAGCACTGAGTCAAAGGCTTTGCAGAAGTCTATGTAAATTACATCTATTGCTTTGCTCTGGTCAAGTAATGTAGTCCATATGTTTTTGCAGTGTAGAAGTTATAAAATGCAGGACAATTTTTTTCTGAAACCAAATTGTTTGTTGAAGAATAGATTGTTTGATTCTCAGTGGACGGTAATGCATTGATTAATAATTGATTCCATAACTTCATACGTGACACGATGAGATTGGTGTGTAGTTTTCAGTCAGGCAGGGGTCACCTTTTTTGAAGATAGGGATGACCGTTGCTAAAGACCATAAGTTTGGTAATGAGCTGGTTCTGAATGATATCTGAATGATATCTCATATATTATGCTTAGGGATTCTGCTATGGCAGTGGAGAGTTTTTTTAAAGAAGTGTGCACATAAGCCATCAGGGCCAGTAGATAAGGATGATTTTAGGTGACGTAGTGCATTTTCTACATTATCTTCAGTAAAGTCAATATCATTGCAGATACTTGTGGTACGATTAGGAAAAGTGGGCATGAGCCATTACTATTTACAAAGACTGAACTGAAGAATGTGTTGAAGAGGTTTTCCTTAATGGCTTCATTGCTATAGTATTTCCCATTTGGTCCTTTTAGGGGTGGGATGGTTTTTGAGTCTTTAAGTTTGGTGTTTACAAAGTTATAGAAGGTGTGGGTGGATTTTGTGCGTATAAGGTTTTCCTCTTGGTTGCAGTGGTAATTGATGCATTCTGCCTTTATCTGTTGGTTTTAGAAGTTAGTTACGTATTTAGTTTTGTTTTTATACCAAAAAGATTTTTTTTAGATTTTTTTTTGTTTTGGGGGTTATTAAAGGAACATACAGTTTAATGATTCTTTCGAGTTCAAGCAAGAAAGCGTTATAATGTTCTTCTGTAGTATTACAGCCAAAGAATAGATTGTGCCAATCAAGAGATGATAATCGGAGGCTATGGGTTCATAATTGACTTTTTTAAAATTGTGTTTTGGGGCTCCATCACTATGATCCTCTTTGAGATGGTATCAATTTAGAGAAAAATCAATCAGTCACTGTTTGAAAATGGTTCCTGTATTTGTAGGGCATAGATTGAGTTTGAGCTGTTGCAGATGATGAGGTCGAGGCAGTTGTTTAGACTAGTGTTGTTATATACTAATTGATGCAGTCCCAGTGTGGTAACGGCATTGTACAGGGTTGCAGGAATGGGTTCGGATATACATTCCTTTAGTGTCCAATTTGATGTCACCAAGAAAAATAAGAGGGGGTGGGCAAGAGGCAGTCCACATCAGTAGTGAGGTTAGCTTGTTTGCATGAATTATATCATAGTCAGGGGCTCGATAGCATAGTAAGAAGCAGATTGAGTATTTAAAGAGAGTTCACAGATGATAATCTCAGGAAGAGCGAGCTCTTGTATAATTTGAATATTTTTTAGATTTAGAGACTTTTTATAGAATATAGCAACTCCACCTCCTCTACGGATTTCGTGATCAGACCGATAACATGATATTCTCTGACTGTGGTAGTGGAGTCGGGGAAAGATGCATTCAACCACGTCTCACAGACAAATATAATGTCGAATGTGGCTGTGTTTAGTAAGATGAGGAATTCATGCATTTTATTTGTGAGGCTTCTTGCATAGAGTAGTTTGCATTTAAGATATGAAGTAGTGGGTCTGGAGAAGTAAGGGGCATGCATCCCTAACGTTGGATGTTTGGGTGATGGTTATTGGGATGTAGGTTGTGGCTCTTGCTTTTGATACAATCTGCGCGATTGTCAATGTATAGATTAGTATTATCTAAAATTTGATGAAGTAAGTCGTTATTTATATAATTTCTATGATATGAGCTCAATAAGGTTTACTTGACAATTGAGGGATCAAAGAGGAAATCTACTTCCTGCAATTTAGAAACTATATTTCTGTTAAAGCAGCTTAAAATTGTTTTTGCTTTCTGTTGTCTCAGTCTCTTGAACTACAATTCGATCCCCCCCCATTTAAAGTATTATTACTGGTCTAGGTATTTTATAATCCTATTCTTATGCATCTGAATTATCTTTGATTTCATGCAGTTGTATTAATATATGCTAAAATGTCATTTTCTGCTATTTCTGTACCCTATTAAATTTTTGTGAATTTGGTTTGTGTTTTTTAGATATGAATTATCCTACCCAGTCTTGAGATATCTGTGAATTTGTTAAAACATCCTTCATATAAGTTATTTATTAAATTGTTGAAGAGTACAGGATTCACAACTGAATATGATGTGATGCTCTGTATTTGATGAATGATGATAATTCTTTGAGGATAATTTTCAAGTCAGCAGTGCACTCAATTAATCATCACGTAACCTATACATTAATATCCTGATGCGCAGAATAAAATACTCTGTCAACTGCTTTGTAAAGAAAGCAAGATATACTAACTTCACAAAATTCCTACAATCTACTAAGGAAGTTATCTAAAAATATTAGATAAGGCAAGTAATTGTTTTCAAAGTGTTTAATGATAAATCTTTTTATGAGAACAATATGCAGTCTTACATTTTTCAAAGCATCGACATCAGAGTAACTGATCTATATTTATTTATTTATTTTATTTATTTTGTCAATCACTTACAAGATAATAGGTATAAGTATAAACATAATTATAAATACATGAAATGGATACATACAAGAAAAATAAAAAGAAACGATAGGACAGGGACAGTAGGCACTTGGTGCGTTTATGCACGCCCCCTACAGATCACTTAGGAAAGGGGTGGAGGTCAATAGTAGACAGTCTAAGGTTAAAGTTTTTGGGGTTTGAGGAAGAAACCATAGAGTCAGGTAGAGTATTCCAGACATTGACCACTCTGTTGCTGAAGTCGTATTTCCTGCAATCAAGTTTGGTGAGGTTTACCTTGAGTTTTTATCTATTGTGTGCTCTTGTGTTGTTATGGTTGAAGCTGAAGTATTCATTGACCGGTAGGACATTGCAATGTATGATTTTATATACTATAATTAGATCGGACTGAAGGCGGCATAGTTCTAAGTTTTCTAGGTCTAGAATTTCAAGTCTGGTGGCATAAGGTATTCTGCAATGAGTAAAGGAGTGGAGAACTCTTCTTGTGAAATATTTCTGAACTTTCTCAACTGTGTTAATATCAGATATGTAATGTGGGTTCTACATATTGTATATTGTATATATATTTTATATATTGTATATCTTACTGTGTTTTCTTTTTCTTCCTTTCTGAAGATTAGAATAACAGTTGGTCTTATCCAGTCATCTGCCAGTTCACCAGGATTTCTCAAACATAATTCATAAGGGTTTGGGGGGGGAAAAATCATGCAATGCTGTTGGGATTTTAGGATGCAATTAAATCTGGTGTTGGAAACTTAAACATATTGAAGAAATAAATGTTTTCACCCCATCTCAAACTTGCTCCAACATTTTGTTTTAAAAAAGGGACTGATGGAACACATTGACTATACGTACACATATATTAGCTACATATGCACATGTATTATCCAAAGAGATTGTTGATGTTATATTACTATTTATCTTTGTTATGTGCTTCAAAACGTTGCCTAAGAGCATGCAATATGCTTCCTGGGATTTTCTGGTGTTTGTCCCGTAAATCTTCTATTGCCCTTTGAGCCTGTTGGAACAAGGGAATGGCATGCGGTGAGATGGAATGGGGGGCGGGGCGGGAGGGGGAAGACGGAAAAATGATTTAATTTATATTTATGGTTCAGGAACTATTGAGATAATATTCCAGAACTAAATATACAGTATATGGACTCTTTAATAGAGGATACTACATATTTAAACACATATGTATATGTGTGTGTGTGTGTGTGTGTGTGTGTGTGTGTGTGTGTGTGTGTATATATATATATATAATTCTAACTTGCTCTTCATTACAGTCTTTAACATACATTTGAAAACCAATGTTATCTTTGATTTTCTCTTATGGCAAATATTTTTTTCTCTCTCTTCCTACTCATGCTATACCATTCATAATCAGATAAATCACATTTCCTATAAATCTGTAAATATATGGTGTACAAGAGAGATGGTATTCAGTAGGTTCTGACCAGTTCTGGAAAAACAGTAGCAGAAATTCTAAGTAGTTCAGAGAACCAGCAAATGCCACTTCTGACTAGAGATTTTACAGTATCCTTCCCCTGCCACGCCCACCAAGCCACACCCACAGAATGGTGGTAAAAAAGTTTGAATCCCACCACTGGTGTACAACCATCCTTTTGTATACTGTTACAAACAGTAAATTCATATGGGTCAGAATAAAACCATGATAAATGGAGTTGAACATTTCCAGCAATGTCTAGTTTAAAAAATCCCTCCTTTGCACTGTGAAAAAACAAACCTTCATCCCTTTCACTTTCTTAGAAATGCCCCTGCAGAAGAGTTGGAATTCTGTAGTATGGCTAGAGATGTTGTTCAAGCCCTCTTCTACATACTCTCATCCTGACCTAGGCTAGACTGTCTGCTGCACACAGTGGTATAATTAAAAAGCAGAAAGCATGCTAATGCCTCTTATTTAATTTGCTCCTGACTGTAGTTTGTTGAATAAACCATAATTGGATGAATTGACCTTTTACTTGAAAATATAAACTTATTGGGTAAGAAGAGATTGAGCCTTTGGCCACTCCATGGTGAAGCTTTAGGATGAGATATATATTTGATGGATATTTTTATTTTTGTATGCTGTTAATTTATTTCTTTATTTATTGAATTTATATTGTCGCCTATTCACCCATGGCGACTCAAGGTGGCTTACAGAATATAAAACAACATTTAAAACAATAAAAACTAACAAAAGAATCAAACAATACAGTACAATATAACAAAATCAACCCCCATATCCCACCCACCCTGCCCAGGTGATTACACAAACCATTTAATGGGCTCTATCCTGCTCTGGGTTCTCCAACATAATCATATTGTGTACTTTGAATAACAGTAAGGGATGGATGAATTACAATCTTACATTAACATTTATGTACCAAACACTCAACAATATTTCTGCACATCTAATTAATGTATTTTAATAACTGTTATTATAGTTATTATAGAGCTTAGGTAAAGATAAAGATTCCCCTCGCACATATGTGCTAGTCGTTTCCGGCTCTAGGGGGTGGTGCTCATCTCCGTTACAAGGCCAGTGCTGTCAAAGATGTCTTCGTGGTCATGTGGCTGGCATGACTAAACACCGAAGGTGCACAGAATGCTGTTACCTTCTCACCAAAGTGATCCCTATTTTTCTACTTGCATTTTTTACATGGTTTCAAACTGCTAGGTTGGCAGAAGCTGGGACAAGTAATAGGAGCTTACTCCGTTACACAGTGCGAGGGATTCGAACTGCTGAACTGCCGACCTTTCTGATTGACAAGCTCAGCATCTGAGCCACTGAGCCACCCTGTCCCTTTTATAGAGCTTATAATTTCATAAAAAATGAAGTTTTATTTTGAATGGATATTTTCCCCTTACAATAGAAATACACTTACCTTTTCAGCTAATTTTTCAGGAGTTATATCCGGATCATATGGAATTGGTTTTCCAATATGGGTTATAAGTTTAACTGGAAACATTCCACATACCGGAAAGATTAACCATCGGTTTCGCTCATATAACCATCTCATTGGTCCTGCGTACAAGTTTTAGAAAATCTCAGATATGCATATTAGCAGATTGCCAAGAATTTCATATTTGACTTTGTTAGAAGCCTATATTTAAATTCAATAATTAATACCAGCACTGGAATCAACTAATGGAAAGTTTTTGCAGTGTACAGATACAAGAAAATAAGCCATCCTGTTTGGAGCCTTACAGTTTGCAAAACACAATTTAGACTAAAAAGTTGTGAAAAAATTAGAGTTAGGAGAAGCAAGCTAATCTTGACACATAAATAGACCCACAAATACAAGTAACCTGACAAACAGCAGGCTGATAGCTGAGTAGACAGATAAACAGACAAGACAGGCAATATTTCCAGGAAAAATACCAATTCATTTACAGAATATGGATAACTTTACTGAATTTCCATAATTTCTGATCATAATTTGTAATTCCATGACATTATGTCAGTTATGGGAATTGTATTAAATGACTTTTTTCCACCAAAGCTCTGAGTTCTGGAGTATGCATGTATGCATCAGTGGTGCGAATCAATATTTTTTACTACTGGTTCTGTGGACGTGGCTTGGTGGGCATGCCAGGAGAAGGATACTGTAAAATCTCCAGAGGTGAAATCTCCAGGTTTGTCAGTTCTCCGAACTAATCAAAATTTCCGCTACCGGTTCTCCAGAACTGGTCAGAACCTGATGAATACCCCCTCTGGTATGCATGTATATGTACAGTATATGTGTATGTATATCTGTACATTTGTATGTCCATATCTGTATATTTATAGAGATAGATGGATATAAATATAGGTAGATATCCGAAGAGAGAGGATATATCGTCTTTTCTCATTGTAGAAGAAAACTCATATGTACCACCTCTTAAACAGTTTTCCTAACAATAAAATGAAAATAATCCCAAATTAATCTACCTCAATTATATTTCTATTTTACTTAGAACCCAGATTTAGCTATTCTTACTTGAATCATTCAAATTAAACATGGTAAGCAAAGATGCCCATGTACAAATTTATAGCATTAAATAAATAACATTCTCAAAAATACATGAAGTTTTACTTACTTGTATCTACATATGTCATATATCCTTCTCTAATATTTTGTGTAAACAAAGGAATGATTGGCTAGAAGAAATAAAACAAACAAATAATGGAATTCTTTTAGTTACAGTACATAAAAGGAATGAAATGTATTGGTTGGACATAAAATACACCAATTAAAAGGTTATTTTGATAAACTAATATGGACAATATATTGTATAAGATCATTGTACTGTTATGACGTCCTAACTGTTATTTTCAGCAGCTTTATTCTTGTACTAAATGTAGTTCAGCTACTGACATGCTGAACTTCTTTCCTTAGTGCTGAAATTTCATGCTCATGCATCCAAAAGATCCTGATTTATAAACTAATATTAAACTTCAGTTTTATTTTTCACATAACTAGTATGCCAAAGAAAGACAAAGGCAAGAGTTGAATGAAACCATAATGATTCTTTTTTTTTGTTGACCTTTACTACACTGTCCTATAACTTTGCCCGTATTTGTTACAGATAAATTGACTCCTTCAGATTAGTTATTGGCATCTAGCATCCTTGGGCAAATGCTGAATTTCAGTGTTCTCCATAAGACAGGGATCATCATGTGAGCTTCATTCTGCAACTTTTCAACTGTCACTTGGTTTTTCATACTTCTAGGCAAGGGAATAGTGTGACCATCTGTTATTTAAGATTTTGGTGGGAAATAGGTTATTCCTTCACGGAGTGGTAATTTGAGTGTTTGGCTGATTGCTTGCCTTAGTCGTGGCTTCAGCCATGAAGAATGAGTATGTGCACATGCTCTCATTTTTATATATTGTCATAAATCAAGGTATAATGCATATTTTATCTAGAAATGTATACCTTGTATTTTGGATTTTTTTAAAAAGTTCCTCACAGTCACATTCAAGATCCATGGATACTTAGATGCACCAGACAGAGCAGGGATTGGCAGGTAGATGGTGATTTCTGGCAAGTGAAATTTCTCCAGAAAAAGGAAAGATCATGAGATTACTCACTTGCACTCCAAACAGTTGCTTCTTGTAAACAGACTGTAGGAACTGAGATTTTTGTGGTTGGCTAAAGTGTTTGAGAGATACAGCTAAATAGAGATTTTTTGAGTGGCAAAATAAAAATTCAATTGGTAAATTATTATGTTGTTGGGATTACAAAGGATTAAGAGGAGCAAAACCTTTTTAAGACTTACATTTTTTTGGCAAAAGTTTAATAAGCAGTCCATATAAGAAAGTTTAAAATGGATAAAGGGGGCAGGTATGGTATTTTGTAAGATTTTTTTGGTGTGGGGGGGAATGCTTGTGAACAAATTGGAATTAAATTAGATTAATGACTTAGACCTTTGGGAGAAGGTGATGATTCAGAGGCAGAAACTTTCCAATGAGGTGGAAATTAACTAAAATTTCCATTTTTTTCTGCATTGCAGGTGCATTAGGGTTGAAAAGGTAGCTAGACGTAAGATCTGGACAACCAAAACTCTGTCTGGAATCGAGATCTGGAGTTTGCCCATATGTACACCATAAAACTACTTTTTGGGCAGAAATTGTCATTTTTGTAGCTACTTGCAATCAACTGGGAAGGTTCCATAGTGACTTGAACTGTAATGTAGCCTTTAAGGGTCTTCGAGGTTTGATAAAACCTCTTCTTTTTAATCATTTTGGAGTTTTACTGTTTATTGTTTCCAGGGGTGGATTCAAATTTCTTAACAACCGGTGTTGTGGGCATGGCCTAATCTGTGGGTGTGGCTTGGTGATCATGTGACTGGCTGGGCATGGCTTGTATGTAAATATTATAAATATTTATGTAAACATTGAATTTTTTATAAAAAAGAGCAACTTTTACCTAAAATCAGGCAAAGCAGGCAGATTGGGTTGTTCACAGAAGCACAGATTCACTTAGAGATCTATGTTTCTGCAATCTGCTACCTGAATCTGTCACATAAAATTTGCTTGCAAGCAAACTCACAAAATGACAAAACTCACAAAACTCACACACCATGAATGTAAATATTGAATTTTTTATTAAACGAGCAACTTTTACCCAAAATCAGGCAAAGCAGGCAGGCAGATTGAATTGCTCACAGAATCACAGATTCACTTAGAGATCTATGATTCTGCAATCTGCTACCTGAGTCTGCACTGAAAAATAGAAGCTTCAGTCCTAAGGAATGTTGAGCTCTGATTTTAGATTAGTTAGAAAGCAAGAAATCCAACTATTTCTTGCTTTCTAGCTAATCTAAATCTCCCGGCACAGCAGAACAGCTGATGGTTGAGGGGGGGAGACAAATAGCAACTTACCAAATGCAGGCAAATTTGATGGCACATGCCAGGTAAAGAGTAAGTGGGTGGGGAGTGGAGGGGTGAGGTCAGCAAGTTGTGCGATTTGCCGGTTCTCCGAACTAGGCAGAATCATAACAATTCTATAGAACCGGACTGACCAGGTAGAATCCCATCCCGATTGAAAATCCTTCAGCACTTTAAGTTTACAATTTGCTGAATGAGTTAATCTTTAATCAATTTAAAAAGAAAAAAAAATTTCTTTCCAGCTTTATGAGATCTTTATTTGTTTGCATTTTTTTCAACATACAGCAAAGTTGTGATTTTAGAGTCTTTTTGAAAAGTTTTTAAAATGTAAATATAGTAAATATAAATGTAAATATAGCGGCTAGGGTTTTGGTGCCATTGAAGTCGATGCTAGCACCAAAACCAAAACCCTAGCCACTATAGGAAACCCCAGCTACAGAATTATCAGAAAAGCCATAGAAGCCATTCTGGCACAGCAGTAGGCTAGCACCAAATTTAAAACAGAAACGGCTATGAAAGTCTGACTCACAGACGAACACAATACAGAAGCCTGATGAGGGCAGATGAGATTCTGCCGAAACGTTGCTACAACTTTAAAAGCACAACTATAATCACGTGGGAAAATACCCGAGCAAAGCTGAATACCAGATAGATAGATAGATAGATAGATAGATAGATAGATAGATAGATAGA